AATAATAATAAATAAGATACAATATAACAAAAAAAAAAAATACACCACAATAACAATATAACAGAATAAAATATAATATGACGATATAATATGATCTATTAATAGATACCAACAATATACTGTAATATAAAATAGAGATAATATATGCACCCTTGGGAGCTTTCTTCATTACTTCCATACTCGCTAAGTTGGACTTAGCGGAGAATGTGTTGAGTGCGGTCCCACCGTGTGGCAGAATAATTTCAATTTACGGTTGAACAGTGAGTGTGTGTGTGTGTGCAGAAATTGCATGGGGCCTGTTTGATGAACTGCTTTCTTACTCTGCCACTGACCTCGGTACTGTGAGGAAGCGTTGTCCAATTATTTCAAACGGCAGCCATGACCGGCCGCAGAGAAGTCAGCGTCAGAAACGTTTGACCAATGTCTGATCCTAAGAAATCGATATCTGCATCATCTTATTCATATTTTTTCTGATCCTTGATGCATATGTTAGCTTCCCGTGAAGCTTGCAAAAAGCCTTTTTAACTCTATCTGGAAAATTCCAGATATGAGCTGATCGATAAACTGACAGCTTTTCGAGGCTACCGCATGGTTAGACGCATAACTGAGTGCTTGAGATTGGACATTTGTCCTAAAATGTGTTACCTGCGATCTTAAGTCATATTTATTGCACTAGGTTACACAAAATCGGCTTGAAAGCTTACTTGGTCTAATACTATTTCTCAAGTTGCAGCATGCTCAAAGTTTGAGAGCACCCCCTCATGATGGTTCTTTCTGCTAAAAATACATCCGAGCAGAATTTCTTTTCTGCTCTGATTAAAGTATATTTTATTAATAAATTTTAGATCAACATCTACTGGATTTCAATTAATTAATTAACTCACGTGTAAAAAACAGTTTGACGGGTCCGTAAAGCGCCTATCAATATGTGTGAGTTTTTTCTTGATTTTAATCAAAGTAGAACTTAATAAAATTCAATCAGTCAATTTACTTCAATCAATTGAATTGAATTTACGTTGTTCTACGCTGCTCGGACGGGACAGTCTGCGTAGAGGACAAACGTACATGGGCAGCGTAAGCAAGTGAAGGGTAGGATCGCTTTATTGGCAAGCTGGATTTTGTAGACAACGGGTAGTTTGTTACTACTATCGATGAAACTAGTAGAGATGGTAACAAAGTGGCCTATTTAAGACAGCCGGCATAAGAAGGGTGACTGGGAGTCCGGTAATGCTTACTCAACAAGTACCCCATCTCGAAACAACAAGGTGGACAATCCAAACTCTTCGGGTCGACTAATTTCCAGAAATATTGATGCTAGGTTAGCTACTCATCGCATTAGGTCAAAAAACAGATAAAATTTGCCAGTGCAGTCAAGATCCCATTGGCTCTATCCAGTCTTCCTCATGTTTCTTTCGTCAGTTTGAGAAAGGGGAATTTGGAAGTCTAAAGATTTGATAGTCGGATAATTAATTCACTGACGGTTGACAAAACACAAAAATATTCAGTTATTTAAATTCGTCTTTAAGCTTTTCAAAAAGCCTGTGTTGCGTGAAATGAAGACGCTGCTGATTGAGCAATCCTGTCAGAAGAATGGATCGCGCCCTTGGCTAAGTAGATAGGTATCTCCTATGAAGCTTTCAAGAACGGTTGAATTGTATTCAAGTCATTCCACATCACTTAGTCGGTTTACACAGTTGGAGAGGAACGTCTTCCCATATGACAGTTCTGTTTTTTTCGATGTCACGTTTCTTCCACGCGCTAGCTAACCGTACTTGTTGTTCAGGATATGGGCATAGAGGAATTAAAGACAGGGGCCCACAAAACTTCAGACTATTATCCAACAGACAGTAGGAGTGTCATCCTTATTAGTCATCCGGCTAATCAGTCGATTGCTCAGTCGAGCACTTGGTCAATCGATCATCCAATCAATGCGTCCGTCAACCAATCGGTCGACCAGCCTTGCTGTCATGTGATCATTTCAAATCTGTTGGACGCAGGTTGTACGAGATACAATTTGACTTTTGGTAGAAACCTGGGGATTTTGCTTAACTCTCGTAAGACAGTGTACCACATCTTGATGTGACCGAAAATACTGCGCCTTGCGTCATGGTGGCATGATGTTCTTCCAGGGTTCTTGCACCACTACCGACATCCCGCTTAATAGAAGAATGATGACGTCACTTCCCACGACACTGGTGCATCTGAATTTCACAGCTAGACGTATGAATGTAACGGTTGGTACGTGTCAATGCTACCGTTGCGTTTTTTGTGGGACTTTTATAGTTGGCCGGACTTTGTGATAACAACTTTTTTTAGAAATTGGAAAGCAATCTTGAAAAAGATCTTGAAACAAGAATACCGGGTGAATTTTAGTTGCATGAACTTAACGATAAGCAAGCATCCTCAGTAGATCAGTAACCCGTTCGGCAAACGGGAAATTTAGAGTCCCACTTCATTTTATGGCCGTCACAGACAGCCAGGTTGCCTTGGAAGACCTGAGTACGTTCTGCTATCTTCGGCCTTAAGTCGGGACGGCGAAATATCAAAAGATAACCGGGCGATCATCAGTTCTATGAACCAAGTTGTCAAACACACCTCCCTAACGAGTCCACTAATTTTCTTGAAATGTGTTTTAGCAAATAGTGATCAGTAGGTGATGACTGTCACCAGAGTATCAATCCACAGTTTATAAGAATAGGAGCAACTTTGCCTCGAACCTGTTGGAGTTGTATTTCGGTACTTTTATTGAGAGTACGTTGCAAACAGCCCCAGCGAGTTGTTTCGATTTTCTGTTTTAAGATGCCATATATCCAGTGTTAACTACCTTAGCTTTGAAAACGTTTTAGTTTGTTATGCCAGATGGGTCATGATCCCTGTCGCTGTATTTGAATCTTGCAACTTTTTGAGGGTGATGTCGGGCGATGAGTTGGATTGGGGCGGTACATTTGTCAGTTCCAATGTCTCAAGGTCACCACAGCCAGACCGGAAACTTGGAGTGGAGTAAAAGGTCATGAGTTGACTTAATTTCGGTTTCTAGACCATGTAGGTGCAGCCCATCTCCCACTTTGACTTTGGTATTCGGAGTTTAAAGCCCGCCGTCTCAGGAACGTTACCACATGGATAGATGGCTCGTGGCAGCCGAGTATTCTTAGCGATATTCTTAGCGATGCCAGCGATGCCAGAAACATCACAAACCAGAGATTCAGCTGGGTTCCAGAAGAGTCTAGCGAGAAACCAAATTTGTTCGCAAATGAGTGTATATTTGCTGATTTCGTGCAATTTGGTTTCAAGTAGAACATAAGGTTAACGGAAAGTCGGGGATTGCGCACCTACCTGATGAGCCACGAGAGGGGCGAAACCGCCTGTTGGTTGTCAGGGAGTTTTCAGCAACCTTGTGAGTAGTACATTACAAATATAAATTTGTGAGTAGTTTCCTCTATGAAAATATTCTGCAATATCTCGAATATCGTGCCAACTGAATGATGAGGTGGCCTGTGTGCAGCACATCCAGTTGTAGAATATCATGAACGAGAGATTCAGTTGCGTCTCTCGTGAAAACCAAACTGATTTGCAAATGAGTATATTACTCGAAAACAGTCCAATTCGGGTTCAAGTGGATCATAAGTTTGACGGAAACTCAGGGACTGGTGAGCTTACCCGATGAGCCACAAGAAGGCCGAAACCGGTCTTGGGCTGTCGAAGAGTTTTCAGCAACCTTATGAGTAGTGCATTACAAATATATACATGCCACCTCTTTCTTTAGTGTTTTGATTAACCACCCACTATTGGGGATCGGGGGCTGGATATAAATAGTCAGGCTTAGACAGACAGGTCAGTTTGGACCTACTAATGAGTACGGATACGCAGTGCAGCTGGAACTAGCCGTTCTTGGGCCTGGCATATTTAGCTGGAAAAGAGCCACACGTTTAGATCTCTGGTATACATCTGAAATAATACGACTGAACGCCTCTCAAGACTGCAAAAGCGCAGCAATGACTGTGCCGACGTCACTCGCACAACACTTCCATGAATATGCCTCGCAGAAAAGCTAATTACTTACCGGGCAGCGAAACCAGAAACGGTGATGGCATGGACAATGGTACGTTTCCCTAGAATTCTCGTGCAATTTGCGTTTCATGCGAGATTGCTACGAATTCGTGAAAACCACGCATTGGTTGCACACATCCATTACATAAATTCTTGTTTTTCGCTTTGTTTACAGGGCACATTTGAATGTAGAATATGTTGCATTTTTTAATGCTGTCTACAGAAATCTTGTGGCACTGAAATTTCCTGTGACCTCACAGTTTACACATTCTATTAAGACCAGAGGCGGCACCTCCAAAATCGACCAAAACTGACCTTGAAGAAAGTCGTTTTTTCGAGGACCAGATTGGTGACGGATATGTTGACACTTGCTCATTTACTGCAACAGATAAAAGCAAAATGAAAATAAAAGTGAAGATTTTATACTTTGTCGGGAACACTGTCGTAAAGTATTATTACGAGAACCAGCTCCGAAAGCAACGGGACTACATAACAACCAATGGAATAACCGTTTTCGTTGAAGGACAGATTTCATTGGTTGTTCTTCACTCGGCCTTGACAGATGAGTTGTATTCTAAGCATCACTATTTTGACCCGCTTGTACTCGACAGTGATCAATAGATCAGCCGGTTCGCACGTCCATTGACTTTTATGGTCAGGCCAAACGCACCAGGCAATCGATCGGCTATCCAGACCGGGGATCACGGTGTTGAGAAAACATTAAGGAGGCTGTGGTCCACAACAAGTAAACAGCCAAGTAAATCGTACTTCTTGTCGGTCAGCAAATCGATCGGGGCAGATTATCCGTCCTCTGTGACTGCAGTCTATAGCAAAAAAGTGAACGTAATATGCTTTCCTAGAAGAAGTGTTATTCTAGCGAAATACACTCATTTGCAATCTAATTTGGTTTTTCGAGAGACTCACATGGAACCCAGCTGAACCTCTAATTTGTGATGTATCCAGGCAACTGAATGTGCTGCACCAAGTCACCTTATGTTTCATTCGCTACGTTATTCTAAACAGTTATTCTAAACCACAGAAAAAATCGCGTTCGAAAAACACTGGTTCCACCAGGGGCTAGCTTCCAAGCTTCCAAGAGGGGCCACCTTGACTGGAGGTCTTCAGCGCAGACTGCATATCAAGAACGAATTCCCAAGAATGATTATGGGACGGGCGAAATGAAGCGGGAAAAGAAGTCAGCGACGCAACCTAACTTGCAATTCATGCCCTCAGGGACCGTCTCCAAGAGCGTGAAGTCATTAGACAGGTGTTTCTGAAATGCTCTCCGCCGATACGCGATAACCACTGAGTCGCATAGAACGCGTAGCAAATAGAATCGTCCAGGTGTAACACCCTTTCGGTGCCTAGTTTCCATGGCAGCCGAAGGAATCACAAGCGTTTGGATACCGTCAGCTGGCCCAAGCCTAGACGGGGCAAGCTGAGAGGCAAATTTCGGGTTCGAACCACGGACCTTCCTGTTAGTAACTCCGCCATCTACCCAGCAAATAAAAGTTATTTAAATACCAAATAAAAGGAGTTGAAACGTGAACAAAAGCAACCTGATCGCTGACTTATCTGTTACTGCATACTCCATAAATTGAAAAGTTTCCGTTCCGAAATTCCACCGTTATATTGTGTCGGTTACTTCACTGTCCGAATGGAGAGTTGTCTCGTCTTGAATGACGTTCTAGTTCGGTATAAACCCACGAAAAATTATTTCGAAACCTTCTAAGGAATGCGCGCTTCTTGAACCGATGCTGGCGTTCGCAACTGCTACGGAATTTCCTGGATGTATTCTTGGTGTCCAAACAGATTTTTGTATACTATCACGTCCTTCCGCTTGATAGGACTAGGAACTGTTTATACAACATAAAATGTAACGACTATATGAAGGTTTATATAGGTTAGACAGAATCGGTGAGCGTAAGAGCTCCATTAACAGACCGCCGAGAAACGCAGAGGAATGCCAGGCGTTAGTCAAAGATTCAGGAATGGCAGTGCATGCTCTAGACACTGAGCATAGGATAGATTTAGAAAATGTGGACATCCTGAGACGCGGTTTAAGATTCACACCACAGCGACTGGTGGCCGAGGCGGTGGAAATCGCCAAGCATCCCAGTGTGGATAGAATAAAGGGGGTAGAACATGCAGACGTGTGGAGAGCAGTTTTAGATCAGCCGAGATGACTCGAGGCGGTGTGCAGTTATCAGCAAAATGGTCTAAAAGTACAACATCCAAGTAGAGTTAGATCAATCAACCAACCCACCCCCATCCCCAAACCAATTGTCCCAGTACCCTTGGACGAACACAGGTGAACGAAATCTGTGAATGGTTCCAAGAGGAATTTTCCATTAAGGTGTCCCAGACTGAAGAAGGAAGGACGAAAAATCCGGGTTCATCATAAAGATGAATCCCCCTAACCAATCGATCGTAAATCTTAGTCATCCCCACTAACCAACAAACAGTATCATCAGACTGAACACCCAGCCCTGATCAAGTCGAGCGGTCATAACAAATCTCACGGATTGGTTCCCTGACTGCCTTAAAACCCAATCAAGTAGATCATAAGGTTGACGGAAACCCGGGACTGCGCCTACCTGATGAGCCCAAAGTGGAAGGGCGAAACCGGTCGTGGGCTGTCGAATAGTTTTCAGCAACCTTGTAAGTAGTCTCCCAATCAACTCATTTACGGACTCACATGGCCTGACGAAGCGTTTGTGTCAAAAGCAAAAAGTTGCCCAGCAATAAATCCACCGATTGTTTGCCAAACTCCTCTGAAATAAAGTACTAGACATTTCAGTCTTTCATCTTAGTCTCTTAATAAAAAACCAGGGAGTTTATGAAAATCAATTTCGCCTAAACACATTGGTTCACATGAATCAGTTGATTCGATAAAATGCAAAACGCCGATTGGTCAACTTGTCTCGGTCAATTGTCGCCTTATTGGTTGGTTACGCTGCATAATTGGTAAACACGATTAAGGCGATTCGAAATGTCTCACCTGGTCGCCCAAATCATGCATTACAGCATGATTTGGGAGAGTGATCCCATGCTAAATTATTTTTTCCCAATTTGTGGAAATGTGTGCCGTTCACAGGGAGTTTGTATTTGTCGATAGTTGTTTGGCAAAACCATGCGACCAATCAACAGCGCAGATGGACCATTGGAATTGTAGTAAACAGTTACGCATCAGTCCTGTACACCAATCGAAAGAGTTTCTACCTCATGACCCTTGGAGAGCGGTTGGCCTGGACGAAGTCAATGGATGGGCTGAGACAAAACCACCCAGCAAGGTGGCCACAACCGATGTGCCTAATCGTTTAATGCCACGGCCAAAAACGGATATTTTGTTTGATTTTGACAGCGCGGAAATGGATGGTTATGAGGGGAAATCATGTGACACCCTATCCACACGTCGAACTTCGCTACATGGGAAAACCATAACTGTACGAATCAGTCGAAACGAGACAAAATATCGGAAACTGCAAGCTCAAGTGTACAACTTTTTGGAAAGACCGAAAACTTGGCGTTCTTTTACCTATCATGGACTTGTGTAAGTCTTTTCTCTGTTTAGCGAGTACTGGTTACCTTGACAAAAAGCAATCAGAAACTGAATTTCGGCCGAAGCAATTCAGTCGCAATGAAGCTATTTGATTATTGGTGATGGTTGATGATAGAATTACGCCGAGAGATGCGTTGGCCTGTTTAACGTTTGTAGATGTGGCAGGGTCGTCGCACTCACAAAAAGATGTTCTGATCACAAAATATAGTAATTTTAAAAAGCGCAGGTGCCAGTTGACATTGTCCGACAGGTAGGGCACACAACTGAGGTACGAGGGATGACAAAGTCGGTGTGCATCGCAAGCCATCCTCTACAACTGAACGGTTCATGAGCCCGAAAGGTCAGGTGATCTTCGAGAACTCTTAGAACGTGCCTCACTTTGAGCTATTCAGCCTTGGACGTTGTATTGTTTTCTGCGCTAGGCAATCTGGTTGCAATACGCACTAGCAAGATTCATTCACACGGAGTAGTTTGATGTGGCACCAAACGTTTTGCTAGCGTGTTTTTCTAATCAACCTTGGTTGTTTAAAACTGAAGGACAATGGAAAATAGATAATTACGTAATTACCCACGTTTAACTGAAAGAAAACTGTATTCGGTTGGTTTGTAAGCAACCGGGTGCATTTTTCTTTCCGAAAACATATTAGTTTGTTTCAAAACGCGAGTTCTCAAAATGGATTGCACGCTTTCATCCGTTTTTTCACAGCATCGTGAATTGTCTCCTTGGTGTTCGTAGAATTCATTTGAAAAACAGCTGGTCACGTGACAGCGAATATTTTGTCAGTATTTTAACAGCACTATCATATACAACTTTTACGGTGACTAACGAATCTTGCGGGTAGTATAATCAGTGCTTTTCCCCTCTGGGAAGGCACAACGTTTGAAAGACTTTTTTGCCCGGCGACTAGACCAATTTGTTCAAATTATGTTGTAAAGCACTGCAATTCATCTCCGGTTTTTTAGTCCAGCCTTTCAAAAAACATTTCGGATAAAGTGGAAATATTTGGTTCTGAGAGATGACCTCAACTTGCTAAGATCATTCATTTTTATTCTAGCTGGAGGTAGAGGAGTATTCCACATTAGAATCACAAAATTAATCACCTGTTGCGTGGAGATGTTCGGTTTTTAATAGCTACAACTCTGTTGAAATGAAGCATCTTGAACGTGACTGTATAAAATCAACACTTTTGTTAAAGACACTTTGTAAGCAGCTAAACACGGACCAAAGTGTGGTGTTCGAAACTTTGTAATACTCTCCGATTTCTATTGAGGTTTTCTGCTTTCGTTCACTTTGTAACTGGGAGATTTTCAAAACTCACCAGCTGCATGAGAAGTGCTCACACTTTTCACCAGTGTCGTTTCAGTGTCGTACTTTCAGCCTTATCGATGGTCCACCAGAATCCAATGATGAGTAATGCAGGCTGTAAGTCAACTAAATTGGAACATGTAATATCCGGATGTTATTGGTTGATACAAAAAATCACGTGCACCAAGAGAAATACCGGGATGAACAAACTGTCTTGGCTAACGGCCGTAGAAAACATTTTATAAGTCTGTTTTCCCGAATAGTGTTCGACTTTCAACAGTGTTAGATCTTTTGAGTGAAACTCAGATGAGGTAAAATTCAATCGATCAAGTCACGTGGAATCCCGGACGGAAAGAAGCAGCGGCACGCATTCAAATAGAGCAGTCCAGGTCACTTGACCAGTTATCAAAACACAGTCAGAAAAGAAGAACTTTGAATAAAAAATGGAGATTTCAAGTTTTGGAATCGCGCAGCCAAACATGATATGGTTAAACACACTTTCGAACAAGTAGCTTGCATTATCTATCCATGGAAACTAATTGAATTTTCTCAGTAACGAAGTTATTATCATCTTGCCAGACTGTTCCGCAAAGCGATACCGAAATGCATCGATTAGAAGTGCAAAACGCCAATAACGGAACCTACATTTCGCTAAAATAGTCACTATGCCACTACGTTGAGGGACTAAAAGTAAAGGCAGTGTATTCGCGAAATACACTCATTTGCAAATCAATTTGGTTTTCACGAGAGACTCAACTGAATCTCTCGTTTGTAATGTTCTACAACTGAGTGAAAACCAAACTGATTTGCAAATGAGTGTATTTCTCGAAAACAGTGCAATTAGGGTTCAAGTAGAACATAAGGTTGAATGAAAATCGGGGACTGCGCGCCCACCTGATGGACGCAAACTTGAAGGGCGAAACCGGTCGTGGGCTGTCGACGAATTCTCAGCAACCTTGTGAGTAGTTACATTCATAAAGGCAGTCTACTTTTCAAAAGGAAACTACTGATAAGTATGAGAAGAATCAGCTCCGAACGTAACGGGACTACATAACTGCCAATGGAATAACCGTTTTCGTTGAGGGACAGATTTCATTGGTTGTTCTTCACTCGGCCTTGACAGATGAGTAGTAT